GCACCATATATATATATATATAGAGCGAAAAGCACTATAAACAGAAAACACAAACAAAAACAATCAAAGAAAGCAACAAAAAGCGGAGCCTAAAGAAATGGCATAACGCAAAAAGTAACAAGCACAGAAAGCAACAAAAAGCGGAGCGGAAAGCAACAGCAGAAAACAACAAGCAACCAGCAAAAAACAAAAACAGCAGAAAGCAAAAGCAAAAAACAAAAACAAAAAGAAGAAAAACAAAAAAAAATCCACAGATATTTCCAATTCCGTGCCCGAAATCGTGAAGAAGCCCATAAAGATGCCGCTGACCTACAAACCAAGCTCTCACTCAAATCCGAATGTTGCATGTATTCTGACTTGCCACCCGCAGCGGAACGCTGAAGCTGGTGAACCAGCACCCACACTTCCGGGTGTCTAGCGCAGAGCCCTCGGCCAGGACATCCTCCTCTCAGCCATACCATCAGTATCCGTCAGTGAAGGCAGCACATGCCTGCAAACATTTAGAGACATTTCGACGTGATTTTGCTTGTTTGCATTGACGAGATGTCAGCGCTCATATTAAAACATGTCTCTACAAGACGACGGCCCTGCCGGTACATGAACTTGGTGATTGATTTCCGTCAAAGTTCAAGCAAAGGGAGCGAGCGTCAATGAAAACGAAGAGAAGGCAACGCCCTACGCAGCAACAGACCACCAATTTGCAACTTCCAACTTGACCTGCCTCGCTGCTGAGCTGTTGTCCTCCACAGAGGTCGTTTCCACTCCGCAGAGGATGACTGATATTATCCACTTGCCTATGGAAAGGTCTTCTTCGTCATGATGTTGTAGAAGTCCTGGCCAAGAGGCTGTTGCAGAAAAAGCCAGGACACCGCCTCACGAGTTCACATAGAAGATCACATAATAAGTTTCTGTCGATGTCCTCAGGGGTTATGGCACCATCTCCATCCGTGTCAGCTCTTTCAATCATTTCTCGGAGCTCCTGCAGAACCCATGCTGCTCACGATTAAGGAGAAGTGCTGAAGAAGGGGTGCTCCTCTTCTGTCATGGTTTCGCCTAGCTCTTTGGAAACTCGCTTGAGGTTCTTCAGGGTGATCGTCCTGGTGCCAGATCTTGCAAGCAGCTTGCAGACTCGCCATCTGCAGCATTCAACCGTGGCAGTCCCAGTTTTGTCATCGTCGAACAGATTAAAGATTTTGTGTATGCCATCGCGCGTCTCCTTATCGCCCTTGGCACATGCGGGTGCATGTGTCACGAACAGGCCCCGGCTCCGGCTTTAGTCGCCGAGTGCCCAACCAGCTTTGCTGTGATGGCATCCAAGAAATCGTCGAATCCGATGGCTGTTCCTGTTACTGTGCCATGCAGTGCAGCATTCCATTCCAGATCGAACAAGGAGGATGCCCCGACCCCATTAAGAATTTGCGAAAACAAGTCAAACGTCCCGAGGAAAGCCACCGTTCACCTTTTGGACAGCACAGTCTGCAGAGCTGGCTGCGCCCCCGACAGTTGACCTCTGCCGTCCTAAACTTTCCTTGCCATTAGAAGCTTCTTGAAGTGCTCAAGACACGAGAAAGACACAAATGTAGAAATCACGACTCACGACGGTGAGCTCTAAATGAGCAAAAGACATGGCGGCACCACCATCTTGATCCAGGTCGGCGATCATCTGAAAGATGGTTGGGTTCTTGGTCTCAAATCCCAGCGATCTCATAGCTGCTTTGAGCTCGCCCCTGCACGAAGCACACCACTTGTGCACCTTCTGTCATAAAACGGGCAGCGGCGCACGGGTCTATGGTTCCCGAACCATCGGTGTCAAAGAGGTTAAAGGCTTCTTTGATCTCATCGATCTCATCCTTCGCGGCTCAGCTCTCCACATGTCAGCCAAGTTAAGACATGCAGGAGTCTTGACAGTAGTCCATGCCAATCCGACGTCCTCAGTCAAGCCTGGCTTATCATATGTCAGCTTCTTCCGGGGAGCACCCCTGAGTCGGATGATGGAAAACGTGACGCTGCAGACATCGGACAAACTCTCTGCAGTCGTTTGCACTGTGCCTTCGTGAAGCACCCATCGACATCCTCACAGGGCGCCCTAGGATTGCATGAAAAGAACTAGCCGTCCACACTCACAATGCGGCTTGGAATCGTGAAAGACGGTCGAAGGTCTCCAATGGTGGAGAGGAACTCGCTTGAACCGGGCCCGGAACGGTACTCAACAATCAAACATAGGCATCCGTGAAACCCCATGTTGCCACAACATCAGCATCACGAAAACAGCGAGCATCGGCAGCACTGTCCGTTGTTGACACCTCCGAGCGTCGCTGAAGATCTGAAGCTCCAGCCTAACTTTCGGGCTGTCGAGCGGATTGCTGAGTCTGTGAAACTGGTCAGAACCAGGCGGAGTGCGGTTGAGGCCTGTAGCAGGGCCCCACTTCCAAATACTTCTGTCAAGATGCAGCAGTACTCTGTAAGGCTCTTGCTTTTCCAACCACAACACGGTCAGGATGTGAATGAACATGTCCTGGACATGTCGCTCGAGACGGAATGGACGCACCGACGCACCGTAGCATCTTGTAGACGGGGTAACACGCAACGGCCACAAGATGCTAGTGAAAAAGAAGGGCACCCCTCCACGTCTCCCAAGAGAGACGTCACAGCACTGCGAGCTGCACTGGCGGGTGGCAGGGGGAATGCAGTCCTCTCAGCACACAAGTTGATGGCAATAAGCACTAGGCAGCCAGAGCAAAGGTGGGGCAACAGAGACACACAATGTGACGCACACAGACACACTCACTCTCACTCACTGTAACTCACACTCACTCACTCTCACTCACACACACACACACTCACTCACTCACTCACTCACTCACTCACTCACTCACTCACTCACTCACACTCACTCACACTTACTCACACTCACCTCACTCTCACTCACTCTCACTCACTCTCACTCACTCACACTCACTCTCACTCACTCTAACTCCCACTCACTCACACTCACTCTCACTCACTCACACTCACTCACTCACTCGACTGACTGACTTACTTATGTACTGCTTCACTGACGGACTGCCTGCTTGGCTGGCTGGCTGGCTTCCTGACCGACTGACTTACGGACTCACTGAAACACTTGCTCACTTGCTCACCTACTTAGTTGCTTGCTTCCCTACTTACCTACTTACCTAGTTGCCTTACATACCTACCAGTACCTCCTTACTGACGGACTCATACAAATACCGACTTGCCGAAATCTCGGCTAATTTACCTACTTATGTTCGTTCTTTCTTCCCTCCTTGCTTGCCTAGGGACCTACCCCTTTCTTACCTACTTGCTTACGTGCTTGCTTGCTTGCTTACCTGCTAGCGTCCTGGCTTACTTCCTTGCCTACTTACTTGCTCACTTGCTTGCTTACTTACTTGCACTTGACACACACACACTCATCAGCAGGTTTGTGCTTATCTTGTTGTTGTGCCTTTGGCAGGAGAACATCAGCAGCAGGACCACCCAGAATCTTTTTTGGGAATGCAGCCAAACAAATGTGAAGCAAACTAAACTGCAGACACGATGAGATTGCGGAGGTTCGTCCAGCAGAAGGGACTTGTGGCATGGGAAAACGCGCATAAGTTTGATGACGGGATACACAGAAATCAAGAAGCATCGAATGAAGCGACGCTTTTCTGCATGCAGGACGCCTTCGCTGCCTCCGACTCTTCCAGGAAGCAGACTTCGCAGCCTGAAGCTTTTGCATCGTTGCTGCGGTACCTGCCCGAGCATGCGCGTGCGGAGCTGTGAGCAAGCAGGACCACTCCTTCCATGTTTGGTGTGCAGTGGGCACTTGAGTAATACTCCGCAGTTCTTTTCCATGTCGGTCAAATGCGACTCCCACTGGCAACGTGCAGTTCATGCATGCGCATACCAGCACGCTTCCAGACCGTGGCTTGCAGCCTGCCTGCGCGATGAGCATCATGCTGTCGCTAAGAGAGCAGATGCCCTGCCACAAACGGAGAGACTACAGAGCGTACTTCAAAGGGCGATCGCCCACCAGAATCGCATCCATCATGATGGAAAGATCGGTTCCATCGGCCCCACCAGGAAAAAAGGACCTGACTGACTTCAGCAACGAGATGCTGATCGAGAGGCTTTGAGTGTGGCGCAGAAGCTAAATTCTGAGATGGAAGCAACGATGAATGATTGTGGTCCAAATAATACCTTCAAACAACAGACATGAAACCGGAGGGACTACGAAAGGACTTTGAGAAAAGCCATGCTCTCAGCAATTCTTGCGGAAAGGTGCTTTGTTGGAACACGCCAGATCGGAGCCCCGTGTGCCTCCGGGCACCAGCAAACTCGCAGGGTATTTTCTGGGAGGAAGTGCTCAGGCCTCGGGGGAGCTCAGGAGTAACATGGCATATCTGCCTTGAACTGCAGAACTCAACCAGGCCTGCACGAAGGCTGCTGCAACGCGTTTTATGGTTCAAGGTTCATGTGCTTCGGATGCTAGCTTCGTTTGGAAGATATGAGTAGACTGCTGGTACTCCGTTGGCAAGCGGTGCATGGAGTTTAAAGTGAATCTGCTGACATGGATTGGAGCAGCGGGTCGGGTGCTCTATGGCTTCCCGCTCCTCATCCTCTTGGCAGTTCAATCTTTGGGGCTCAAGCTGAAAGCAGTGCTGAAAGCTCTGAGTCTCGCGACATGATTTTTGACATGTTTCCTGACACCGAGACACCCCAGCCTAAATTGAACAGCACCGTTATTCGGGCCAACACTGTGTTTATGCCAACTCCGGAACCCATATTCGTCTTGCACTTCGCTGCTTTGCAAGATTTGCAGTGATTCTACGCGAACAAAGAGAAGCGTCAGTTCTGCTCGCACTTGCACAATGCAATGCGACAGCCTCTCAGAAATGTCCGCTCTGTCGTGCCCAGCAGTTACATGCGGATGTTGTGTTCTGTCCAGCTTTACAGTTTATCGTTCAGAGTGACGCCGGCGATTGTTCCTGGGAGTACTCTTTAAGAGAGCGGTGGCACGGCCAGCGGCGGCAATGGATGGTGCAAGCATGTGCTTGTTTTCAAAGAATACAACAAGCAAATCGCCAGTTAGCAACTGCCATCTCAACTGCCCGTCTGCAAGACGTTCACTTCCAGTCTGACGGGTATCAGAAGCTCTTGGACTCTGTCTTTCCGGCTCCCTGGCTTTAGCATAACCTACACTTTACACCCTCGCAGCAAGATCATGATTTATATTTGAGCGCGCGGGTTGTTGTCACCTCATGATAGCAGGCATCGTTTCCGCCATGATGTACAATGCCAGCGTTGCGGACTTCCCAGCATTTTCGAACACCTTCATTGGCCCTGTAAGCTTAAGGTAGCTTTATGATCAGCAGCGGGCCCCTATCCGGAGACTCCTGGCTCGGATGAGATGCCCTCCATGCTTTCGGCTGCTATCCCCGCGACCATCAACTTCTCTGTCAAAAATCGATTCTGAAGGCGCTCGTCACAGTGCTCGTCTCTGGCAGTGTCACAAAAAATGGCACGAATGCTGAGGTAAATGAGAATAGTAGTCCACCTGACGCTGGTGATGATACACACCAGCACAGGGACACGCAGCGCCTTGCGAGTTCCACTCACACGCTCGCAAGATGTAGAATCGGCGGTTTTGATTTTGGGGCCAATTCGACGCTTTGAGCAGTTTCCCCCCCGTTTCACCTGCTCTTCTCTTCGAGATCTTCCAACCATCTAAGCGGACTTCTTGGTTTGCCTGCTCGTGGGAAGCCAAATGGCAGCTCAGTATTGTGCAGTTTCTACGGATGGTTATTTCCTTGTGTAAGAATAACTCGAAAACGTCCGAACAGCGAACACGCAGGGGCCTAACAGTTGTAACAGTTTAACGAAAGGGCTAGGCATATGGTCGGCTCCTTGCTTAGAATACATACGTACAGTTTTCCATCATTGTGGTTACTTGTTCTTTCCCAGCAAAAGTAAACCGGTGAGTTACTGTTTTTTGCAAGCCAGTGGCGTCTTGTGATTGGAACCGAGAAGCCGCGTATTCATTCAGCGACTAAGTTTTGCAACTCAAAAAAAGTGTCCAATGTTTCGTGTTCCCACGAGGAATCTCGTGCGACTCTTGTGCTCTCATTTTCGAGAGTTTGCGTTCCGTCACTTCCACCGCCCCCACTCCGTCCACCAAGCCCTGGCATCCTCCAACCCCGCCCCCCAAAAAACTCCTTCACCCACCCCCGCCCCCGCCCCCACGCCCGTGGGTTCCAGATATGGGATCAACTGTTCGCCCAAGCATCCGGCGGGCTTGAGATGTGTTGAACTTTCGAACTCAACAGCCATGGCAGACTGAGGGGGCAAGTGCAAGAAAAGGGATCGTAGGACTTGGTGTATGAAATCCACCATCGCCTAATGACGTTTTGAGATTTGGGTCACAGACAAGACCAACAGCCTGCTGGCGGATTAAAACATGAGATCTACTGAACCCGCCCATTGAGGGGCCGGGCAAGAGACATGGGGGAAAAAGGCCAGTTTCAGATAGGAGATCCACTGCCATCATGGCCGCCATTGCCTACAAAGCGGTCAAGTTCGAGATGTGAGATCAAGAACCATCAGAATCTGATCGTGGGACGGGTGTGAGATATGAGCGTACCCGCCCTCGCCTATGAGGGCACGAATTGACAACAAAAGGACCAGCTGCGTCCCTGCAAATTTTCGAAATCACAATCTCTCTCTTCTTCCACACAGACAAAGGAAGTGGATGAGGCAGGTGGTTACACAACTGTATCCATCCCGCAACCCTAAAGTGACTACTTTGAACCCCCCGCCTCCGCGCCTGGTCTTAAGGCCGCTACAGGAACTGTGCAGCTCAGCACTGGAAGGTTACACAGGCTTGGCCCCCGTTAAAGGCGATCTCTTCTTCCACAAGGCATAAGGGGTTTGCAAGACCTTCTGGCTTTTATAGGCCCCCCACTATTTGGGGTTTTTGAAGGGGTGTGAAAATCGACGATGGTTTCAGGTCCCCTTTCCTAGACTAGTCATCGCAATATGAATTAAACTGCCCGACTAGGATGTAACAATCTTTCCAGGACCCTTCATACATCGGGCCAGAAACATGCAGACAGCACGGACACCATCCGAATTTGCGCCTCTTCTCGAGTGGCCTAATAAGATATAAAGGCTTGATGTCCCCCAGAAACAATAACAACTGTGATTACGAGAAGGTTTCACGTTTCAGTAGTCTAGAGAGTGTGTAAAACACTACATGTTCCCTCTCGACCCTGATAAAAAGCTATTCGGAACAACACTAAAGTCTGCCACCATAGTAAGACGAGGATCATATTTCACTTCGGGGGCTAACTTGGCTTGCTCCTCTTTAACTCAACATCAACAACAACCAGGTAGGAAAACGATGAACCAGGTAAGGCAGCAAGCCTGTGGCTTACAGTCTCGCAGGTGGGGTCCCCTTACGCCGTAACGCAACAAAAGGCTACGAACACCAAACCAAACCGAGGTCCCCCCCATTGAGTGTGCCTTTAGAGCGGCTTTGGCAAAAACTGAGGCTCCGACCAGGGTTCTCGCATACGGTGCAACGGCTTCAAAGCACGGCACAAGACAATCTTGCTTGCTCGCTCGCTTGCTTGCTGGGCGTTTGGGGGCATGGGGAAGGCCCCAGCACCCCTGCGCGCAAGCGCTACGCCAATGTCCTGTGTCTTTGCAGTCGGTGTGAAACATTGAAGGAGCAGCACAGTGGCAGACGTCGGCTGAAGCTCACAGCACTCACGAAACAACACAAGACAATCTCTCTCTCCCTCTCCCTCTCGCTACCAGGACAGAAAAAGCAGGAGGACGATGCTCCTCCTGCATGCATGCCTTCCTTCTTTCCATCAGGTTCGGGCTAGCTTCTTTAACCCGCGCCAAGGCGCCCCCCTCCCCGTTTGAGTTGTGGGCGGTATTCGCCCCTGTGGTCAGCACGAACGGGAGTGTAAGGTTGCTGCAGAGTCCCCCTGACACTAAAACGGGCCTCGTCCGCTACGGCTAGATCCTTAGTGCCTGCAGCAACCCCATCTCCCCCTGTAGTGTATGGTAGGCGACAGTGTCCCCGCTTCCTCACTGCAAAACTCAGCGCAACACCACAGACTTAGACATTACATTCAGGATAGCGTTTCTTTCACGGATATGTCGCATCTGGGGAATCCAAACTCGTGCAGGTAACAACTGCTGGTGGATTTCCCCTCCTGTTGTGCTTCTGGGGGCCGGTGTGAGAGTAAGCAACAAAGCAACATCGAAACATGCAGAGTACGAAGACTGGCGGTCCCCCCAATGCTTCTCCAAGCTGAATATTTAGGAGGATCACATGAACTTTCAGCTGAGATGTATGTACTTCCGGTATGAGTTTACATGCTTCAACCCCCCTGCCAGCGTGGTTCGAGGTACGGCCTCTCGGCCTCTGGTAAAACAACGACCCTAACGTTACTTGTGACGACTCATCACACCGGTCCGTGCCTATCGAACATCATCGCGTGGTGCTGCCGCTTCCCCAAAATTTGCCAGCAGACTTTCTGTCATGTGCTCGTTCGCCTCTTCCTCCGTTACCCCATGTAGAGCTGTCCGACGTGCCGTGGCTTTTGCCTTTTGCATTTCTTCGTCTCCCCTTCGGGTCGGTCGTGCTGTAGGGCTCGTCGTTCACGTTATTGAAGTAGTCGTCGGGCTTGGTTTCCCCCTTGCAGTGGGTCTGTCTGCATCTGTCTGCGTGCCGTCATGAACAGCGTGGGCTCCTCCAGACATGGCCTGTTGCCATGCTTCTATGGCCTGGAGCATGGAGACCGTTGCCGGCAGCATCTCCCCCGTGAGTCGGGGCACCATATCCCGCAGAACTCTAGCCGCTTCGAGGACTCTCAGCGTGGTTCCCCCGAGCAGTTGCGTCCTCGCTGGCCACTCCGTAACGTAAGGCTCCTGGAGCTTCTGCGCATCTGCGGGGTGCGCCTCTTTTCCCCCAAGCGGCTCTCCAATGCCGCGGAGACCGGAGAGTATGCTAGGGGGTTGAGAGGGCGGCAGCCCCGCCACCAAGCGCTCCAAGGCGCTACCCCGTCCATAATGTTGATAGACGGAGGTCACTGTACGAAGGACTGGCTGTTTCGTGGAAAGCTATGTGGCATGCCTCCGTGGGGGCTAAACAGATTGGGCATGCTCCCCCTGGAGTAGGCCTGCTGCTCAGTGTTCATTACGGCATGTCAATTCTCCCCTTCTGTACCACCAACTGGCTTTTCGCCCCTAGCGTCAAAAGAAGACAAACAGATACACAGCTACTTGGAACCTCCAGTTACAATTCACGGGGCTACGGCTACGGCTGCATTCCTACGTGGAGGCTCAAAGTGGAAGCAACAGAAGTGCGGTGCTGGATCACGGGATTTCCCCACGGGGCACACATCTGGGAAACACAGAACTCGATGTGCGTCCCCCTGTGTTAGTCTGCAGCGAGCTTGTTGGTTTTAGGCCAATGGTACACTACTGCTCTTCATTCCCCCAGGAGAACTACGACTTGCAGGTACAGACGTGGTAGAATTGCCGAGTGCGTTGGGGTGAAGGCTGGGAAGGCAGGTAATACTCCTCCAGAAGTCACTCAGAGCGAAAGTGAGATTTTGTGGCTAGTTGCCGCCTGATCCACCCCCAGTTACGAAACAAAAGGTATCCCTGTAAACGAGGCACTCTTTCTCTCGCTCTCTCTCGCGACCTCAGCGGCGAGTCGCGAATCGACTTTGAAGCCAACAATTGAAACTCGAAACTCGCGAATTTGCAACTTTCGAACGTTGAATTTTTCGAACTGTCAAGCTAAAAACTTTCGGTTCTTTCAACACTTTGTCGAACGTTCGACCTTCCGAGCTTTCTAACTCGCACTCGGCCACGGTCGAAAATTAATATGCAGTTTGTGGCGTTCGGAGCAGCGAGTCGATCTCGAAAGTTTGCAAGTTTGAAGCGCACGTGCGCGCGCGCTCGTGCATGCCAAGGGTGCCCAAACTTTCGAACTCCTGCACCTTTGAGAAGCCTTCAAAGCTTGAAAATGCTTGAAACTTTCACTCGTCCAACATCGTCCAACCTTCGAACTCTCTATCCTTCGACCTCTGGCGGAAGGGCTTTGTATGTTTGGCGGGGGCGGGGGCGGATGGTGGTCACCCCCACACCCGCGCTGACGTACAGGCAACAGGCAAGGGGAGAGGGGGGCTAACTTTTTCAGCGCTGAGTGTTGCCGTTGTGTCGAACGGCTGAGGCTAGGTTGACAGAAAACCATCCTCCCAGGCCTGTCTGTCAAGAAGCTGCCGTCTGGTGTTCATTCTGGCAGTGTGGACCTGGCAATGGAAAGCTGCGTGAACTCAAGCAGCCTAGTGCAACTGGGCTCCACGCCAAGGCATTTGAATAGCGATCTTGCGAACGAGCAGTGTCAATCGTGTCACACTCTTCGTACCTGACCTGACGGACGACTCCCACTCTGCGGGTCTGCGCGTCTGCCAAGCAGACATCTCTCAGGCAGGCTCCGGCGAGTAGCTCAAGGTCTGCATGTGCAGTGCCTGCATGCACCCGGCCCTACGGACGTAATCTGCAGGATGGCAGCCGCAAGCTGCCAGCTGATGACCCTCGCATACCCTCGCCTCACGTGGCCTGGGCTCATCTCCCCGGTCGTCAATGACCAAATGGGCCGACTGACTGGCCAGGCAGCAGACGGGAATGGAGTGCAGACCAGTCTCAGCTGCGTGTGGGGGCCTTTCAGTCCAACTGGCCACATAGACCCGCTCTTGCAAGCATTCGTCCTACAGGGCCCAAGCTGCGAAAGTTCTTCGCTCGCATCCTTTGTGTGTTCTGCCGGCATTTAGATCGGGATTTGTTGCTGTCGCAGAAAGCGGCCCAATGCCTTTCCAGCTCATGTTACAGATGACGCTAGCCTGTCCATCACTGGCAGGGCTCTCGAGAAAGAACCACACCCCAAACCCAGCCCCATGTGCAATCAGTTCTTGCCTTTTCACCTGTTCAGCAATTGCTGTTGCTCAAGCCGTGTATGTTGTGAGTAGGACATGCTGTCACTCACGTGCCATCGCACACTTTGCCCAAGACATTTAACCCGACAGAGCTGCTAAATATCACAGCCTTGTCCACATCGCAGACGTGGAAGTGTGGAGAACCAGTTCGCAGTTCACCATCGCACCTGAAAACACGTGAGTCAATCAAGGAACAACAACTCCAGTCTGAAAACGACCAGCCTTTTCAACTGCTCTTGTTGGCAGCACTGAACTGACCTGATTTGCTCAACGTCCATGCGAAGTCGCGGGACACATGTGAAGCACGGTGAACCCCAGCAGGCAAGCGACTGTGACAAGCCCTGTCCCATTGCACATGGGTTCCTCGTGTGGCTCCAGCCGCAAGCCAGCAGGAGTGGTCGATCAAGTCCAGAGGTGCTTCCTAATTGTTTTTGTTCTGCTAGCTCTGGGCTGCTGAACTCTGCCAGTATGCCGGGAAGTAAAATGATGCTCAAGGTTCTGCTGAAAGCTGCTGCAAGCTGGATGACACCAGTAACTAGTAGCAGCGTGTAGCGATTGATCCGGATTGAATCTTTGGGTCTGCAGCTGCAAAATGCGATGGGCTGCAGGTTCGGTCTCGTCGCAAACACCCGGCATCTGCGCGAACATGAAGCCACATCTGTCTGAAGGTGCCGGTGCCAGGGCAGGCTAAGTTTACGCACCTGTCTTGCAAAACCTGTTGCGTTGCCTTCTTGGCGTTAGAATGGCTACTCTTGTTCCGAATGGCATGTTTGAGCCCCAGAGTCCAGAGCCGTTTGTTCACCTGAAAGTCTTGCTGGCATCCGGATCCCGGCTCCAGGCAAGAGTTTAGCAGGCGGGGCTCCTTCAACCGTCTCGGGCGAAAAGCACCGTCGTTTTAAGATCTGGCGGGTGACCCTCTGAGATTCTGGTGTCTCCCGATGCGTCTCGCGAAGTGCAGACGGCAAAAGACCGGCAACTGCAATGAATGATTATAAATTATGACACGGCGCAAATCTGCAGATCATCAGACTGGCTTCACTACGTTTCACGGGACGAGCCTGACAACATTCCGAGTCCAGTAGGAGGCCACAGATATCTCAAAAAGCCGACTCTAGATTTTGGGAGCGCAGGGCAGGGTCGACTAGTTGCAGCCGTTCTGCACGAAGCCCAAAAATCAAATTTTCCGTCGCCCCAAGATCTCTGTGAAGAAATTCAACAGGCATCACAGCCCTCGAGAGCTGATTGACAACAACTCCAATCATAGCCGCTCAGTCGCTCTTACCGTGACGACGTCACTGCCACCCATCCCCGAATGCCGAAGAGACTTCGGCATCTGCACTTGAACGGAAAACGTGTATCTTCCTAAAGTTTGAAGCTGCGCACGGCCCATCAAAGGCCCCAAATGCACAACAGCATGCAGGTTTCGGCAATTCACTTCGGCCGAGGCTTCGACCACATGGAGCCCGTATTCATGTTGGTCCATTTGTTGGTCATGTTCTTGGTTGCTTTACAGGTTTCGGAACAGTACCTGACGTTCGTGACATTCGTCCTCTTCTGCACGGGATTTTTGTTGCTGTACTGATAGTTGTTTTAATCTCTGTTTTTGGTATGCAGGCTTCCAAAACATTGCAAAGCTTAAGCTATCTCAAGAGAACGCTCGTCCTTCCCGAGCAGAACCCGACTAGAGAACAACTGTTTGTGGCTACACGCTTTCCAAGAGCGCACGAAACCCTGAATGCCAAACTTAAGGGGTCTGGCCACCCAGACACTGAAGCTACCTTTCCCTTCCAGGAGTTAGAGTTCGGAGCTACGCGTATACGGATTGTTTCCCAAGGGTATACAGATTAGAGCCTAGGGATTGGGGGGGATGGAGTTTTCAATATGATACCGGATCTCGTGCAATGGCAAGATTGATTTTCGGTCGTAATGCTGCATTTTGATGATGGTTTTCTATCGTCGAGATAGAAGTTCACATGAAATCAATTACATTTTCAGGTAGCGATGCACGTTCATGACGTTCCTGTGCTGGTGAGGATACGAATCATGATGACGCTCATTGAAGGGGTCTGGCCAGTAACCGTAGAATATTCTGGAATTTTTGAGTCTTGATTGTGATGGCAATCAATATCAATGGCGGGTGTATATTAAACGACCATACGCAATAATTGGCAATAATAAGTACGCTTTACGTGCAGGCAGGATGCGGGTTGCACAGGAGTCAAGGAATTCTAGGCAGTATGTCAGTATGAATTATGATCATTTGCGTTTGGACGGTTTGGTGTAGGAGTTACGAGGATTCTAGTTAATACTAGCAGGGCTATTTGCTTTGACCATCGGCAGTATGTACTTTTTATGGTTGTTCGTGTTTGGATGGTGTGGGTTGCATAGGAGTAAAGGGATTATAGGCAAGACCTCGTATGATCGCGTTTGCTCGGATTGCTGGGTGTGGTAGTAATTTGTGATTGTGTGGATAGTAAAAGGATTATAGGCAATCCTTAACATGATTGTTCGCGTTTGGATAGTGAGACGTACATTCCGTGCCTTGGTTTCTTTATGCCTGGCTGCATGCGTGTGGCTTGTTCTGTATTTGTGTCTTTAATCTCTCTTCCTGTCTTTCTTTGTTTCGCTATTATCGTAATGTCGTTCTGCCTGTCTTTTCTTCCCTCTTTCTCGCTATGTCTCTTTCTTTCTTCTTGTCTTCCGGTCAAGTTTAACTCTTTCTTTCCTTCCTTCGTTCTTTCTTTTTCTGCGTGCGTTCATTTCATTCTTTCCTGCCTCCTCCGACCCGCCCAACCAGCCCAACCAAAACAAAGCAAACAAAATCAACAATAGACTGAACACACAAAAACAAACAACAAAAACCATAGCCTACCCCCATATCCAACTGCCAAAATGCAACTTTTCCATGCGTTGGATTGCGTTGGCACAATAGTTGTGATAGGAGGCAGGCTAGCTCGTCGGTACACAGGGGAGTAGAGAAAAGAAGGCAGATGCTCGAGACGCGACATCAAAAACAACAGAGAAGACGAGAAAAGAATTGCACAAGTAAAGAACTTGCGCTGCTTCAATCAAAACCTCAACACACTGCTTTGACCGAGTTTAAAGGATTGACAAACTTTGGATCTTGTCCAGCGGTGAAAATGCACATCGTTGCCTGCGGATGCAATGTTCGGGAACACTATGAAGCGTCGCAACTGCAACTTCGCGCTTTGGCCTTGCTGGGCGTCTAGAGGTTTGCAGGGTGCCGGATTGACAGGAGCTCACTCGAAATCCTTCCGAGAATCTCGAGGATGCCCTGACAACTTGACTTAGGTTGCCCTGGGTCTAGCGGCCTAGCGCATTCAAAACCAGCACGTCATAGCATGGGCTTCAAAGCTCCGCATACTGCTTAAGCCAGTTGGTAGCTGAAGTTCGGACTCTGCATGGCAGCTTGAAATGCTAAAGCCTTGCAACAGCTGTTGTAGGAATTTGGAGTCATTTGGACTCTGAAGTCGCGGCCAGGACCCAGCGGACAAGTGATCCGCAAATATCACATAAAAAGTGAACAAACACTAGCAGAAGAGTACCCCACACTGAGAAACGTTCTTTGTGAAACCACCGGTGATGGGCCTCAAGACTCGTAATTCGACCCCCCAGATTCCGGCCTGCGGATCGGAGAGCTCTGCGGTTTGAAACGGCAACAAGAAAAGACAGCAGAGACTTACAAGCCGCACCACCGACAAGCCTGCAAGAACACAGCCCCGCTATTTCAACCGGACGGCAATTGCAACCGTGAGATGGACAGCAGGGCGCACTCCGTTGCAACTGTGCAGACACTGGTCAGAGGCTTGGCCTCTGAATCTCCATGTAATGTCTCTCAATGCTCAAGGGCGCGATGTCGCAAAGGACCTGACAGCCCCGTGCCAAATTTCACACTTCAAGGCACGAGTCCTGACCAAGCTTAGGGCAGCATTCAATCGAAGCCATGCACAAGGGGCAGCGCTTGTTGCGCCGAAGCCTCAGCCCACTACTCTAGGAAGTAGTTTGTTTCCTGCCGGCAGCTGCCGGCAGCTTCAAACAACTGCTCTGCTTCAAAAACCTGAGTCGAAGACCACCTGTCAATGCATTGACGATGAAACTCGTGGCCACAAGGCAGCCTTGAAAAGCTAATCCCGCTCGACAGCTAACATTTAAAACACAGGCTCTTAAGAGCAGCATGCAGCATGCCACGTGGGCCTCCGAAGCAGCGTGCCGTCTGCAAAACCCGAGAGGCAGATGGAGCATGGAGCCTGCGCTAGTGTCTGTGCGCAATAAATGCACCCGGAAGTGAAAGTCAGGACTTACTCTGGGAAATAATCGAAAGCCCCTTGGAACCGATAGTCAGCTAAGTCGGGACAAACGTCGCTGATTGTGCGGAACGGAGCGATTGCACTGTAAGCGGAGCGAAGCGACGCATGCCTCGTGTCCTAGTGTTGATCCTCTGGCTGTTGATAGAGTTTGCTGCTCGAGGCAGGGGTTTTCAGCTGTGCAGCAAACTATCTCCGTGCAGGCTAGCTTGTAGTGGAATGCAATGCTGGCTGGTCTCGGTGCTTCCGTTGCCGTCACTTTGCTAGACTTGTCTGAGGATGAGAGGTTGCTAATCCTGCGGGGATGTGCTGGTCTGGAGGGAAACGGTGCTGAGCTAGAGGGCTTGCAGACGCTGCGTGCAGCGGCCCTGCAGTTGGCCGAGGCTTCTTGGTCTGCGGCGGACTCCGAGGCTTTTCTGTGGGTGGTCGGCGCGTGAAACGAGCTCTTGTGGAGCGGAGCATTCCCGTAGCAGTTGCATCTTCTTCTGAGGTGTCTCCTACTGCTGTTGTCGCATGTCGGGCACGGCTTCCCAGGCCGGTCGCAGTCTTCCGGCGGCTTGCTCGTTCGCCGGTCCAAAGCGAGAACTGGCTATGAAACGTCTGGCGAAAGGTCGGCGACTTTGCTCTTTCTAGAGTCAGCAGGCGAGTTGCTGGAGGCGGACAAGATCCAGATCAGTCGCCACCCGGCTATTCGCAACAGTCTGGAAGAGCTGGTCGTAGAACTGTCAGACAAGGATCTGCGTGGCAAGCGGCAGGGGTGTCAGCTGCTGGTGTCGCAGGTTTGCGTCATGGAACGTCTCGTGGTGTGTGGCAAGGGACCTCGATCCATTCGGGTTTTTGCTCGGTTTAGGTTGCTTAAGTTGTGGGGCTGCCTGCATTACTCGGACACCGAAGGCATGCCGGCCGAGTCCGTGGGGTTTATCATACTTACGGCTTAGGAGTGAGCAGCCGGGCCCAGGCTTGTTGTGTGGTCCTGCAGCAGCTTGTTTTCGCTCTCCTCTCAAGTTGTGAGATCGTTTTGGGTTTGCCGTGCTTGTTCTTCTTCTTGCTTTGCAGCTGCAAACATGCCGGCAGTGGAGGAGCAGGCGATTTGGAAGCGATCAAGTCCTTGGACCGCGACCTGGCAGGTCTTCTGCAGTGTAAGGACATCTCTTTACGGACGCAAGCCTTGCTCGCAACTAAGAAGGTGAAGACCATCAGTCGCTTGTCGGCGATGGCGGATGACCGTCAGGGGCATACGGGAATTTTGCCAAGGTCTTGGGGTTGGATCCTGCAGCAAGCGAGGGCTTGGTGGAGGTGGCGTCTGTGGTGGTCTTCCAAAAGTCGTTGCGCACACTGAGCTGGCCCAACTGAGGGAGAGGTTCGAAGCTTTCTTCTACAGCTTGCCGCACAAGTTGATGCCAGCCAATGCCATGCTGGAGCAGCACTTTGACGGGGTGGACAATGGAGAGTTTCAAAATCTTTCTTTAAAGGAGTTTGCGTCCAGGGAGGACGCGGCTCGGGAGCCGTTTGCCGCTTGAATTGACAGGAGCTGACAGGAGCACGGGCACGATCAGGGTCGCTAAGGTCAGGTGACGGTCTCGCTGCCCAAAACCGCGGAAGAGTTGCGTTTACGGCTGGGCTTGGTGGCTCATGCGCTTGTGCTTTGTTCTTTGCGCTACCCACACGTTGCATCCTTGAAAGGCGTTGCTCCTTCGCACAAAAACACTTACGCCGACTTCCTTTGGGGCGACTTCGTGCTTGGTTTGCAAGCTCGGGATACAGCGGGTGCAGCGGTGTCGTCCCCGGCCTTCGAGCAGATGCTTGCCTGCGAGCACTAACTGCACAAACGCATGATGAAGCTTTGTCACACCTTGTGCTTTGAGTGCTGTCAGCCAGGCGAGTCCGGTGTATCAGGCCAGGGGGCGGGAACATTCCCGCAGCCATGGGCGGCAGGCCCCCAAAAGGGTTATGGCAAAGGAAAGGGGAAGTCGCTAGGCCTTTCCAAGGCATGGAACAAGCTGGAAGCGCTTCTGAAAGGGAGCTTCTGGAGAGCCTAGTGGAGGGGCAACGAGCCACTCCTTGGACGTTCACTAAGGTGGCTGAAGAAATTGGTGGGAATCAATACCAGGATGCGACTCAGGACACTCCGTCGCTCTCTGAATGGCAGCAAGCCCAAGACTTAGAAGAGGAAGAGCCACCTAGGAGGGTCCTTCTCGGAAAGCGACCAGGACCACCGTCAGTTCCTGTGGTTCAAGATCCAGAGGAGCTTCTGCACGGTGATAGTGACGGTCACGAGTGAGAGCGAGAGCAAGCAGTGAACCCCAAGCCGTGAAGATGTTAAGGACCATCAGTGGGATGCTGAGCTTAATGCATGTTGGCAACAAAGTGAGGCAGCGGTTGAGGTGGCTATTGAATGGCCTGAAACCGAGAGAGCACAGGACCTTGACATGAGGGATCTGAGTTCATTCTTCATTGGCGCTCTTAAGCGTAGAGCCGCTGAACGAAGAAGAGCGGAAGCTTTTTGCCAATGCTAAGGCTGTGGAGGTCCGCAACTTTGTTGCTCCAAAGGCTTTTGAAGCGCTGTCAGAGCATCAAAGGCCGAGTAAGGAGCAAGCCTGAACATGAGGTGGATCCTTACATGGAAGCTTCGTGATGATGGCACCAGCAAGCCCAAGGCCCGAGCAGTGATATTAGCGTATCGAGTCACTAGCTACGAACACCGCGCTACCACATCACCGGTCATGAATCGACAGACCAGACGGTTTCTGATGCAGGTGGCTGCAAACCACGGATGGTCTGTGTATAACGGAGATGTGTCGGGGGCATTCCTCCCATTAAGACCTTACCTCGGGAACTTGTTTTGCATACCATGCCCCGAAATATGTGAAGCAATGAACATACCTCCAGGAACGGTGACAAAGATGAAGAGAGCGTGCTACAGGGTAGTGGACGCTCTATTGGAGTGGTATCGGACGGTGTCAGAGTTTCTTGTTGGGCTCGGATTTGAGAGACAATGGTCTGATGCTTGTTCCTGGGTGAAGAGGAAGTCAGGAAGGATCTTGGGTGTCATCGCAGGACATGTCGATGATTTTCTCTTTACGGGAGATGAGTCAGATCCTGAGTGGCAAGACCTCATTCAGCGGTTCAGACGAAGTTCAACTGGGGCGACTGGGATAAGGATGTCTTCTGTCGTGTGGGGTTAGCATCAAGAGAACTGAGGAAGGTTTCGAGCTGTCTCAGCCCCAGTATGTGGCAGGCATCTCAGAGATAGCACGAGCGAGAGAGAGAAGACGCGACTTAGAGCCCTGCTAGGCACCTTAAGCTGGCATGCGCAACAAGTTGCACCGCACATAGCCGCGGCGGAAGTGTCTCTGCTACTGTCAGAAGTGTCATGCAGCACTGTGCAAACCATCTTAAAGGCAAACACTTTGTTGTACAACACCAAGGCCAGGAAAGATCACAAGATGCTCATACACGGTTCCGACCCGCAAGAAAAACTGGCCCATGGGTGGACGCAGCTTCACAGAACCGACCAGACGGCGGAAGCACCCAAGGCATTTTTGTAGGCTTAGGATCTGAGGGATTCCTTCATGGGAAAATCGGACATTTGACTCCGATAACCTGACACTCCATGAAAATAGACAGAGCATGCAAAAGCCCCGGGGCTGCCGAAGCACCGGCCGCCATCAACGGAGACGACAGTCTCTACTATGCAAGGTACCAGTGCGGAGAACTCCTTACTGGAGAAGTTGACGTCCGAAACCCAGCCAGTGTAGTGCAGAGAGTGCCGGCATGTCTTGTGACCGATTCTAGGTTCTAGGAATGTGTTTGACAAGATGGAGACAGAAGTCCTGTCTATTAAGGGAGCCGAAAGGCGCACGAACATCGAAATGATCAGCCTCAAGGAGTCGCAGCAATCAACCGGAGTCGAAATCCGGTGGGTTCATTCCGAAGCACAATTGGCAAATGCGCTCACCAAGGCGGGAAATGCAAAAGAACTGGAGCTGTTCTATCGGATGCACCATCGCTGGCGCATCGTGGAAGACCCGCAGATGAGGTCAGCAAGAACACGGAGAACCGAAGGACTGGACCCGTTGCATCAAGACAAGGGAGACTCTAGAGTTTCTGGGGATACGAAAGATAAGATTGATCAGCCAACAGGGGGCGGGGGGGCATGCAAGCTTCCATTGCCATAGCCGTGCGTCCGCAGCTGACTGTGTCTTAGTTTTTTTTTCAGGCCCCGCTGAGCTTCCTAGGGCGAGCTTTCCGGCCCGTCACCCTGTTGCTCTTTCCAAAATGTTCATTGCAAGCGAAGCTTGTACTGATCCTCGGCGCACGATGATTTGGGAGCCTCGCAGATGCCATCCGAGTGACTCCGCAGCTCGTATAGTCATCAAGGAAAAGGGCAGGCCCATTCGTAGACGCTGTTTTGCCGCGCCACAGAGATTCTCGTGCTGCCCTTGCTTGGAGCTGTCAGTGCTAGAGCAAATTATACTTCCAGCTGCTGCGCGCGAGGCGCCCGCAGGGTTTCACGGCGTTGGAAGGGTAGGTGGGTGGGCCTTCTGTGACAGTATAACTTGAGAGACGGGCCAAATGCCATCCAGCAAGGCGCTGCATACACAGGGTGCGGAAAGGCCGACAACACATGAGCTCGATCTGCACCAAACCCCATGTGGCCGCCGCTGTAGATAAGCACTGTTTCTTCAAGAACAAGGTACCTGAGACACCAAGGTACCGCGACATGTTGGCATTGTTGCCAGGTTCAAGAAATATACATCACCCGAGTGTCTGATTCAAGGCATTTACACTACAAAGTCCCCGCCCAAAGGCCCACCGGCGGGTGAAGGTCACCACCATCTGCACACTCGATTTGCGAAAGGCACAACAGTCACCAAGGCACCGCCACCAGTCCTGTCCGCAAGTGTGCGCTCTGCGGCGGCCTGTTTCGATGACAGTGCATGCGTTAGCAAAACCATCAAAATCACAAATCCCCAATGTACGCTGGCCAACTGCGGCTAGACACATATCGGTGGCCGCACGGCGCTCGATTTCACCAAGCACCCGCTTAATGGCTGCCAGCACATCAAAAAGAACCATTCCCTATGCAAACGCTCTATTTCGCGAAGCACCCGCCCATGGCCGCGCAGCGCATCAAAACAGCACTTTTCCAAAAGAACACCTCATAACAGCAAGTCTTTCACGAAAGCAGAAAAAGCCTGGCATTGTGCACCACCGACACAAACAACACACCCAGCAGCAGCAACAACAGAAAGCACAAAACCACGATGCAAATGCAAACAACCAAGTAAACGCCCTGTGCACAACGCAGACATGCTCGCACAGCTATGCACAATGCGGCACGCGCAAGCCCTGTTTTGCGGGGCAGGCGGCGGGAGGTTGGTCTCATAGTGCCGGTCTTCAAAGGCTTTGGGCATAGTGGGCGGGTGCGAAAAAATAAAGCACGAAATTGCAAAACCCCCAAAACCGCAGCGTGACCCTGCATAGACATGCATGCAAAAGAGTATCACAGTAGTCGATTGCATGAACGTGTTGAAAGACATCTCCGCAAGGCGACTTTGTATTGTTGCGACTTTCTGCGGTGTGGCGGCATTTCATGAAGGCCCTTCGCCAAGGGTACGCAGATCCATGTCGGTACCGTGGAGAACCTGACTTTTAGGATGAAATGAGCGTACCATTCCCCAAGTGCACGCGCCCTGGCAGCCTGGCAGCGCCCTTTGCTAAGTGGCGACGCTTAAGGGCAACTACCCCATAGCGAGACGTACCGAGCATGAATTTCCGAAGGCTGCCGAACCGCCCGGAAACGTGCCGAGCATCTCCGAAGCCCTCATCGCCCGAGATCCGAAATCTGCGTATCGACTCGGCGTTGACTTCCCTAAAACTCTAGTCAACCCCGTATCTTTCTGAAGAACCTCAGAAAAACCTGTTCAACTCAGTGATGCTGCTTATCGGTGCATACTGGATCATACTGGTGCTTAGGAGCTTGGGGCAATTTGCAAGACGAGGAACATCCTGGTCGTCGCAAAGGGCTTTTGTGAAGCGGAATGCAGGAAGAGCGCTGATTTGCTCTCGCGTGGCCTCGGCTCATGGGGGGGCGACGTGACGTTAAGCAACACCGACTCTTGCTACCTGCTCGTCTTGAGAAGCAGACCCCCGCAGCAGCGGGCTCCTGAGCCGGCACAGGAAACACATTCCCTTCTCCGGGCGCAGAGTCACGGAGGCAAGCGTCTGAAGGAACTGGCTGCACCGTGTTATGGCACTTCGCTGCACGAGTTCACTGCATGTCACCTGGACAGAAAGATCTCCGTCGCGGAAGAGTGCTCGAAAGATGGCAATCGCGAAGGTTGCGCGCACTGCCGACAGGGACATGACCTGCAAGGCAAAAGTTGAGCTGCAAAAATTAAACCAGCATGCACATGCATGCGCTAAGTATCGAACCAGGCAAGCGAACTAAAAAGTCAAACAGAATAATTGTAGACACAAGTGTCCATAG